TAAATTAATTGGGACCTAGTTTAATTGAATGCTTTGACGATAGAGGCATCATCACTCCATTTAAACCAACCAGCTTGAATTCTATGACTAATATCTCCATCAATTTCACCATCTTTTTGTATAATTGATCTCAAATATTTAAAATTTTCCACTTGCGAAATGATTTGATCTCCCAATTTGACCTCCAAATCTATTCTGACTTGTCTCTTATCAAAAACGTAATGTATATATTCTGTCTTGCTTCTACTCAAACAGAAACCCTTCTATTCCAAGGTTCTTCTGTATGTCTCAAGTTTAGTGATAATCTCTTCTTTTGACTTAGCCAATAGAACAATACCATTAGCAAAAAGCATGCATTTAGGGATTTCTTCTTTAATATGCTCAGTTAGAACATCGAGAACTAAGTTAAACAGATAAGGGCTCAAAAATGATCCCTGATTTAGGCCAATCCTTATAGAAAAGTCCTTTGTCTCACCACTCAGCATTCTAACCCTAGTTCCCTCATACATGCCTTGTATGATTTTGATATAAGCGACACACACACATTTCTTCTCCAAGGCTCTCCAAAACACTCATCTAGGCACACGGTCGTAAGTTTTTTTCAAATCAATAAAAATCATATGCAAGTCTCTTCTGTGGCTTAAGTACTTTTCCATTAACCCCCTTAATAAATAAATCGCTTCTGTTGTCGCTCTTCCTGGCGTGAACCCAAATTGGTTTTCAAAAATATAAGTCTCCAATCTCAACCTACTCTCACAATTTCATGGCATGGCTCATAAGCTTAATCCCTCTGTAGCTAGCACAGTTCTGGATATCCCCTTTATTTTTATGAATAGGTACTAAAGTACTTTTTCTCCAATCATCAAACATTTTCTTAGAATGCAATATCACATTGAATAACTTAGTAAGGCACAGCACACTACCTTGACCCAAATATTTTCAAACTTTAATAGGAATACCATCAGGTCCAATTGCTTTATTGTTTTCTATTTTCTTAAGAGCTTCCATAACTTCACCAACTTGAATTTTTTGATAAAAAGCTAAATTATGTTCTTGTTCTCCAATTGTCAAATCTTCAAGCTCACAAGTCAATCCTTCACCCACATTGTTAAATAGCTTAAAAAGTAGGCTTCTCATCGATCCTTAATATCACCATTAATAACCAAAACTCTACCTTCTTCGTTCTTTATACATTTCACTTGGTCCAAATCTCTTGTTTTTCTTTCTTTATTCTTTGTGATTTTATAAATCTTGTGTTCCCTAGCCTTAGTCCCTAAATCCTTATAGAACTCCTTAAAAGCTTTAGAATGAGCTTCACCCATTACTCTCCTAATCTCTTTTTTAGCTATACGATACCTTTCCTAATTTTCAGCATTATTACACAAATGTATTGCTTTAAAACAATCCCACTTATGCTTGATTTTTTTCTTGCACATTCTCATTCCACCACCATATCTTCTTATCTCGCCAACCACGACCTTTTGATTCACCCAAAAAAATTTTAGCTACCTTCTGAACCTTCTTAGTTATTTTCGTCCACATAAGATTAGCATTTCCTTGTAGCTCCCACACTCCTTCCTTTAAAAGAGTCATTTTGAAAGTCTCTCCCTTCTCTCCTTTTAACTGCCACCATTTGACCCTTGGAATTGACACTTGTTGGCGCTTTTGTTTTATACACTTAATACGCACATCAAGAACTAGTATCCTATGTTGTGCTGTTACGCCATCTCTAGGAATCACTTTACAATTTGTGCAGAGTTTTCTATCAGAATTCCTTACCAGAAAGAAATCAATCTACGACCTAGAGGTTCCACTCTTGTAGGTGATTAAATACTCCTCCCTTTTCTTAAAGCAAGTGTTAACAATCTTGAGATTGTACGTGAGGGAGAAATCAATAATAGTTTTTCCTTTATTATTACGCACTCCAAATCCCATACCATCGTGAACCCCTATATATTGTCCCTCTTCTTTATCAACATGTCCATCAAGATCACCCCCAATAAAAATCTTTTCCATGAGTGGTATGCTTTGAATCAAACCCTCCATATCCATCCAAAATTTCTCCTTAAAATGGTCTTCTACCCCTACTTGATGTGCTTATGCACTAACCACATTGATAGTATCCATCCCCATGATTATTCTTAAAGAAATAATTCTGTCTTCTATCCTTTTGACTTCCACCTCGTTCTTTTTCCATTCATTATCGACGATAATGCCAGCTCCATTCCTTGTACCTACCATTCCCATGTACCAAAGTTTGAAACCACTAGTAAATTCGAAAGCCTTCTCTCCAATATATTTAGTTTCTTGGAGGCATAAAATATTAATCTTTCGTTTGTCCATTACATCCACCACCTCTCTTGATTTACTATACAGGGTCCCAATGTTCCAAATGTCAAACATGATCTTGCTTTCATGGACTAACTTCTTTAATCGCCTCCATCCATAAGAGTGCAGTAGCCCTTGCTCATTTAACACTACATTCGGGGGACAACACAGCAGCTCTTGCTCACTTCTCACTGTACTCTTCTGGGCAACAACCTAGCAGTAGCACAATTTCTTTGTTGATCCATGTTATAAAAGATTCGACAAAGTTTTATGTTGGCTATCGAAGGCCTAACACAACCCTCCTCCTTTGCTCGGGCTTAGGACTGGCTATAAAATATAAGCCGAGTTAAAGGAAGATATAACAAGAGAATGAATTTAGTTAGGACCTAATTGGTTGAAGAGTTGATATTGGTCCTATATATAAGACCTATTTCATATATTTACCAAAATTTTTTTCAAATTAATCCTATTAATATTCTGCAATGATAATCAAGCAAGAGGGAGAATGAGAGAATTAAGGAAGATGTTCAAAGTGTTTTAAAAAACATATGACATTAACTAATTTAACAAACATTCTTAATCTACTCAAATTAGTTAATTAGACCTTATATTAAGAACCGGAGGAGTATTAGAAGACATTAAATTTAATTAATAATTATATTATAAATGGGAAAGTTGAATTTAGATTTGTTTTCACATAGGAAACAAAGCTTTGTAAGGTTAATAGTTGGATATAACGTTGTCAAGTTTAACAATTTCAGAAAAAATTTCTCTATTGATCTAGCTATTAACATTGAGATTGTTCGATGATCGATGTGATGAAGATTATGAAAGAAAATAAAATAACTACTTTTATGAATAAAAAATAATTTTGATGTGTTCAAATAAATGATAACAGTAAGGTTGGATAACGGTTACTGGTATTATATAATTCACGCATTATAACATGAAAATAAAACACATTTTTACCATTTTGACAAGACGAGGCTTAGATCATTATGTATAATACTATCTCCAATTTTTAATATAAGAATTAGTTGAAGTTTGAATTTAATTATATTTTTTTCTCAAAATATCTCTATTAATTGTAAAGGTTTATCACTAAGAGATAATTCCAATCACCTAATGCATATGATTAAAGAGTATAGTTTAAGAAAGCTAACACAAGTTTGTGATAAATAACCAACTTAACTAATTTTCTTAATATCTCCAAAATAGTTATTTAGCTCTTATACTACTTCCAGTTCTTAATCTAAGAACTAGTTGATTAACTTGATTATTTATAATAAATAGGTATTGTCTTTCCCAAAATATTCTTACTAATCATGTGTATTGGCTAGAACTATCATTTGATAAAACCTTTAACATGTGTAACTACTACGTCCAAGGATTATCTTAGGAAAAATGAATAAATATGTGAGATAAAGAATATTAGAATATTATATTTAAGATTAAATTAAAAGTCAAACTAGTTTTTATATAAAAGATTGAAGGTAGAAAGAATTATGTCCCCTTTCATTTTTTTTAGCCAACGAGAATTATGTCCCTTCCATATCACCAAGCGTGTGACGTTTAATTTTTGTCTTTCTTCCCTGTCAAAAAAAAAAAAAATCTCTCCTTAAGACAGTAATTCTTAAGGGAAAAATATTTAAGCCAAGTTACTTATATTTATTATGTTAAGTAACAATTTTTTTTGCGCATGCAAACTATAAAAATTTACTAGATGGAAACAAAGAGGGAGGGAGAGGTCTGCAAAATTCTCAGACTTGGAATTTACGAATTTGGGTTTTCTGCACGTTAAATTCTTTCAATTTTAATATAATTACTATTACTAATTGTACAAAAGATTTGTCATTAGCCAATAAATAATTAAAATATCTTAAAAACAATATCATGTTTGAAAATATTCATCAGTCACCAAGGCCCTTTAGCTCGTCGCATGACACTATGCTCACCAATTAGCGGACAGCTTTAACCAACAAGCGCTTTTTTTAGCCAGTCAAAAAAATTATATACAAGTCGAGGCATAAATATAATTAGAATGTTTCAATGGACTTCTTGTTAAATTGCTCTCCAATAATTAGGGTGACAAATTTTTAATTTAAACGACTACCTATATATATATATATATATATATATATATATTGTTTGGCAGATTGGAAGAATATGGAAAACATATATTTCATGAAGATGTAAACTCTACAAGGACCAACAAGGTAATATACTATTTCCAGTCCTTGATATAACAACTCATTTAACTTTTATTTTGATTCTAAATATAAGATTCTAATTTATTTTGTTTCTCGTATTTATCCTTTTTTTTAAGATAGTCATTGTAATAATAATAGTTCTAACTAATACATTTAATTAGTAAGGATATTTTAGAAAAAATAACACTTATTTATTACAAATAAGTAACTTAACTAATTTTTTTCATCTACTCAAATTAATCAATTAGCTCTTATATTAAGAATCGGAGGCAGTGTAGTGTAATATATACTCATGCCTTTATGTAGATAGATATGATATGACCAAATAATAATTTATTCATTACATCAAATTGAAAAAGGCATATACGCCCCCAAAAAAAAGGAAAGAACAGAAAAGGGATAACAACTCTGAGATCTCGTATCATTTAAATATTTGATTATATGATCCCCTGCCTACGCCCTTCACAGTTCATCTCCAACATCTTGACAAGTTCCTCCATCTAAGCTTCATCTTCGACATCGTCAAGTTTCACCATCTAAGCTTTGCTGGGAAATACTGCAGATCCATTATACGCACATAAAATAAATACATACCCACAAAGATAAAATAGCAGTGAAGGATCCAAATGGTTAGAGAAAAAAAAAAAAAGGAAAAAGGTAGTAATAGTTTATAGAGTTCTTACTTTTTCAATGAGGGATTGATAGTATGGCTTCACTTTTTCCACATCTACACGAATTTTGCTCTTACTGTATAGATCATATTTGCTGTATAATGAGCAGAGTCAGTTTAATTTGTAAGATAACTAACTAATTACAACTAAGAATCTGCACTGAGATCATGAGAGAAGCATACTTGAATATTTTGACCCACTTCAGATTCTCAACATCTTCTTCGTTCATCAAGTGTGTATATGCACCTTCCTTATGCAAAGCTGCAAAATTTAACGTGTTAATGTCATTATATATGCCTGCAGAACACAGAATGTTGACAATGTCCTTTGAACTCCATCAAAATTCTTACGATAGAAAGAGTGATATCTGATAACGAACAAAGCTGCAGGAGGCAAAGTGGTGCCATTTTCCCTAGCAACCTGCAGATTCCAAAGATTAGATTTTCGTCATTAATATGACATAAAATAGAGAAGCCAGATTTCACGAATACGATGTGGCTCAGGACATGATGTGTTTTAAGAGAACTCACCAAGTACATATAATCATCATGTCCCCATGACATGACTACGTTATCGAGTCCACATCCTTTAGTGTAGATGCCATTGTTTGTGTTGTAGGAAGGATTGTTGTAATCTGGGTTGTCCTTGAAATACTACAAGAAGGCAAAACAAAACCCAAAAAAAAAAAAAAAGAAACTGTTAGATGAATCTCAAAATTCACAAAAAGTAACATTTGCCTCTGAGTTTGTCTGAAGGAATTGCAGTATTACACACCTTATGGTGCACATTTGCTTCATCAAAAGCACACCCCAGAGGAAACGTATCTCCTGGAAAAATTTTCAAGAAGCATTCATTTCAGATTTGAATTCTCAGCCACATACTAAAAGAATACTTAAGTGGGTATACAAACAAATGGACCAGTTCTTACCAACAACAGCCCATTGAGGAAGTCCACCAAATTGAGGAAGGAGAAGGATCTTTCCAAGATCTGAAAGAAAGAGCCAAGATTATTCTCCAATCTGTCCTTTTTCTCTCTCAAATTTTCAAACTTTTGATATTTATATAGGATGGGGCCCAATTGGTGACGTGTAAAATGTGGATGTATGGATAATAATGCCCAAAAGTTTGAAGTTTGACCCATCATAAATGAATACATTACATAGAATAATATACCATGAATGAGAGCAGTCAAATGCAACCAATCTTCATTAGGATAATCTTTTCTTATTGCTTCAGCAGATTGCAATAAATGCTCAATTTGAGGTTCATCCAAATCAGGATCACTTTCATCCACAACCTCATTCAACAACTCACAACATTCCCATATCCCCATCTCTCCTTTGTCCAATTTCCCATATGCCTGTCTCATTTTCTTCACCTGTAACAACATTCAAAATTTCAACACCATGTTTTTATGTATAAATGCAAGTAAAACTAAGTAGGCCATATGTGCAAAGCATAAAGTCTGAGAATATAGTAGTTTATTATGGGCTTACAAAGTCATATGTTTGGTTGATGTGCTGAAGCCTGTAAAATTCCTCAACACCCTTTTGCCTCTCACTTTCTGCATCATAATCTCTGCATAAACAGCAAGTGCCATAATAAGATTCAAACTTAATAGATTTTACTTCTCTTTACGGATCAGCTTGCATGAGAGTAAGACTCTAAGACTAATAAGAACAAAAAGAAACCTGAAAGAGTGACCAAACGCGTTGATTTCTGGGGCTATAAATCCATTCTGTGACCCAGATTTTGGCAGAGGGAACCCAGCATCCAATGCAAGCTCGTTGTTGTTCTTAGAATGCAAATTCTTCTCTCCAAAGTTTGACTCTGAATTGGGAAACTCAGAGCAAATAAAAACTTAACTCATAGAAAAAGTAACAACGAAGAAGAAAGCAAGAGAATGAAGAAAGAAAATGATGATACCAAAATCAGGTTGTCCAATGAGAATAGTCATTGTGAAAGAAGAGGCGAAGAAAACGAAGAAAAAGAATTAAAGAATGAAGCCTATTGAAAATTGTCGTGTGTGGATTCTGAGATGTTCACAATGTAGGTATTTATAATCAAATGGGAGTAAAGTGCTTGCCTTAGAATTAGGAAGCTTGGTGTGTCCTCATCTGAAAAAACAGACAACTATGATCCAACCCTTTTTGGTAAATTATTTAATCTTAGCTAAAATGAACAATCTGATTAATTCTTACATAGGCACAACTTAATAAACCATTCAAAAATATCTCATAACAGTTGTATCTCTGACGTGGAATACGAAATTAAGGTTTGTATCACTTATCTCCAGTCATCTCTAGTATAGAAATACATTAAATTTAATTAGTTGTTAAATTATAATTAGGAAAGTTCAAATTAGATTTGTTATTATATAGGACAGAAGACTGTTGGGATGTTTGGATAGAAACCAAACCATGGTTTCAGAAGTGCTTTTACGGATTACGAAGTAAATATGTGGAGGAGATTACCTCGTTTTGCGGAAAAGTGCTTCTGAAACCATGGTTTTGGGTTTCCCAAACACCCCCATTAGGCTAATTAGTTGGTACAAGGTTGTCAGATTTCGCAAATTTGGATAAAGTCGTAAGAGATAGGTGTTCGTGATATAAAATGGTATGAATTTACTTTTATTCATAAATAATCATTGCAATAATTAGTAAAGTTCAAATAGGATTTGCTATTAAGAAGAATTACAAACAGGACACAAATAAAAAAAATTAATTATTTTCTTCTTTATTTACACGGCAAAGTTTTAAACTTTGATATTTACGAGTAGTTAAAATTTGTGGTTAATTAATTTTCTCATTTGGGACCTAAATATAAACATCTTATGTAAAAAGATTGATAGGCTTAAAAAAATCATGGTAAAAAAGATATACTACCTCCAGTCCTTAATATAAAAATTAGTTTGACATTCAATTTGGTCCTAAATATAAAATCTCAATTCACTTTTCCTCTCATATTTATTTTTTTCCCTAAGATAGTCTTTATAGTAGTTGCACATATTAAATACTTCATCAAATAGTAATTATAACTAATACATATGAATACTAAAGGTACTTTAGAAAAAACAACATCAATATATTATAAATAATTAATTTAACTAATTTTTAAATATATTTAAATTAGTCAGTTAGCTGTTATCAGAGGCACTAGAAAAGATAATTTATCAGTAAATAATATCCGTTATGCCAGTGATTTTTTTAAGCTAAGCAGATCAGAGTTTCCGCCTTAAACATGTATACCCCCCAGTTCAAAGTCTGTAAAACAGAGAGTTTGCCAGACTCTCTGTGTGTCCTTTCGTGACATGGTAGATAAGAAATATTTTGAGTCTGTAAAACTTTTTTGGGATAAATGTGATCAAAATGACATTCCAATCCTTCATTAGAAAAATGTCTTGTCCAATGATTTTAGGCCTCGGATCCTCATTTTATGGTTGAAAATCATTTTAGAGGTTGAGCCACGTTGAAGCGGTAAGAATCAAGCTGAGAAGAAATTGGAACCGGCTTTCCTCTCTTACTCTGTACCATCCACTTTCCTCCCTTACCCGACATTACATCGTTTTGAGTATAAAAATAGAGGCTGGCCATTTTTTAAAAAATTAATATCTATCATTTTAAACTATTTTTTAATACATTAAGTATCTTAAAATAATTTTTATTGTATTTAATACCTTAAAATATTTTTCCGGTGACACCCACTGGTATCTAGCAAGTTGGACTTGTAGTATTTTTTCAGTAGCACATAGTAATTTAAACTAATTTTAAGATATTGGGTGTTATTACTACTGGATACACTAAAATTAAGTTTAGAATATAGGATGCCGTTGAAAAAATAGTTTACAGCATAGCTTGCTAAATACTACCTCCGGTCCTAATTATAAGACCCAGTTGACTAATTTGAGGAGATTAAGGAAGTAAGTTAAGTTAGTTATTTGTAACAAATAAGTGTTGTCATTACTAAAATATCCTTGCTAATTAAGTGTGTTGGTTAGAACTATCATTATTAGAAGGACTATCTTGGAAAAAAATGCATAAATATAAGAGACAAAATGAATTGGAGTCTTATAATTAGGACCAAACTAAAAGTCAAACGGGATCTTATATTAAGAACCGGAGGTAGTATTAGGGTACTGCTGAAAAATATTTTTGAGCGCTAAGCGCACTAAAAATTATTGTAGGATATTTGCAAAACAAAAAAATACCTCATAATAAAGGATGTTGATTTTGGAAAAAAAAGGGGGCCGGCTTTCATTTTTACACCGAGTACGGTACGCTATAGATTTAGGGAGCAGAAGGTGATGACAAGAGCGGTTCCGGGAAAATTGGACGGGTCACCCGGGTCCATGCCCTACTTCAATGATTTTTCTAACAGGCACAACAGAAATAACGAACAAAAAGACAAACAGCGTCAGACCACGAATCAAGGGTGACATTCCCTGCGGAGCAATTTTTTTTTAAATAGATAAAAAAATTTTCAAAGCATATTTTTGCTTATCATATAATATTAGTAATGTAAGTTTAAGAGATTATATAAATTATTTAAATTTATAATTTAAAATTAGGTTAATATAATTTTTGGTTCCTCAAATTTACCCTTATTTTAGTTTTAGCCCCTCAATTTTCAAACTACAAATTTTGATCCTTCATAGGACAAAATGATCAAGGCTTTTATTGATATAAAAAAAACTTGATGGACCAAAATTTATTGTTTGAAATTTGAGGAACCAAAACTAAAATGAAAGCAAACTTATGAGACTAAAAATTGTATTAATGCTTTAAAATTTTAGACTCATTGTTTGCTACAAATTGCATTTTTAAACACATTTAATCATATTTTCAATCAAATTTTTTATGCCCCCGTCGTGTACTTAATTACTTAAGCTCCTTTTACAATATTATGAAAACATTAAACAAATACTTCTTCTACTCCTTATTACTATTTCCGGTCCTTAATATAAGACTCTATTGGATTTTTATTTTAATTCTAAATATAAGGCTACAATCCACTTTGTTTCTGATATTTATATATTTTTTCTCAAAGTAGCCCTTCTAACAATGAGAGTTCTAGTCAATACATTTAATTAGTAAGGATATTTTAGGAAAAACAACAACTATTTAAGACAAATAACTAACTCAACTTATTTCTTTAATTTCCTTAAATTAGTCAACTGGCTTTTATAATTAGGACCGGAGGTAGTATAAGAAACTTCTAACTAATTCACACCATAATAAAAATAATTAAAAATATTAAATTTGTTATAAAATTCAAATGATTTCTATTATTATCCTTATTAACTATAATGCTTTTTAATATTATATTAATTTCTACTTTTTCTCACTGCTCTTAATAAATATAAGTATATATATAAAATATTTAATACTTATCGAAATCAAATGGTCTTGTAAAAAGGACAAAAAATATCTTCTGGAAGGTCTCTTATAATAACAACAGGAGGAAGTAACTATTTGCATGAAGAAAAAGTAAAATTCAGAAGGAAAAAAAAAAACAAACTCTCAAATTCTTCCAAACAATTTTAGCCAAATTTTGAAATTCTTGTGTTGAAAGGTAAATTAATAATTGAAATTTATTCTAATATATGTCTTAATTAAAAGAATCTCTTTTCAAAATATTTTTAATAGAGATAAAGATTTGAACTCTAGTATATATTTTCTTTTTTTCTTCCTGAACTTTAGTATATATTTTCAAAAAACACGAAAAATCCACATGATTTTTTTTTTTGGGATCCTCACAATGTGACATTTATTCATATTATTCTTCATAAAATTAGAATATGTGGGGATCATAATTTCGTAACCTTTACTTTATTATAATCCATTGTTGCCTCATCACTCATCGGAATATAGTCCCATAATATTCAAATTCCAATTTTAGAACTCTAAATATGGAATAAATTAACTATGAGTATATTTAACCATCTAATTAACACATTCTTGGACAGATCTATCAGGTAAATTAATCTCAGTTGTGAATATATATTGAACAATCCAATTAAGAATCCATCATAATTAGCGTTATGACATTCCCATGTCAATTATATTAGGCTTAAACTGATGTATCCTCCATGATATATCTAATTAGTTTCTTTTTTCACGGCCATATGAAGAAAAAATAATCCTACTGATTTAAAGAAATTAAGCAAATTAGTCAAAATAGTTATTTATATTATTTATAATATATGTCGTAATTTTCTTAAAATATTTATTATTTTAATAATGATTTTGACAAGCTAAAATCTGTCAAAATCACCTCTTTGTCATTTTCATATTCAACAAATATTTTTCTGTCATTTTCTCTTATTTTAATCATTTGCATTGGAAAATGTCCCTTAATTGGAAAAAAAAAAACAAACAAATCCTCTTCATACGTATAATCAATAGATTAGAGTTCAAAAAAATGAGTATAAGTTCAGATGATTTTTTTCTTTAAAATCAGAATTCAGAAGATGATTGAAGTGTTAAAAGGAAGACAATATTACTATAATAGCGTTTCCTAAATTTCCATCCAACCAAGAGAATCTAAATCCCAACCTTCAAAAAATTTATTTAAAATTATTGTATATGAACAAGTGGTAGAGTGGTCTCTTTCTCTACATTTTTGCACGGGTGTGCCAATTGTGTCCCCGCCGGCTGCAACTGTGTTTAACTTTATCTAAAACAACAAATACATTTCTTCCGCTTGATCCTACCTAAAGATTAATGTCTAATTTTTTCTCAAGCGTTATCGAGTTTTTTTCTCTTGTGAAAAGATGCTGGGCCCATCTTTAAAGATATAATTTAGGGGAAATTGCAAAAAAAGACCTTCGAATTGTAAAAACGCAGATAGGGACCCTTGACAACTTCACTTTGGGTTTTGACAAGAATGATATGCCCTGAAGTTGTCAAAACCCAAAGTGAAGTTGTCAAGGGTCCCTATCTGCGTTTTACAATTCCAAGGTCTTTTTTGTAATTTTCCCTATAATTTAGTGTCCATTTTTTTCCACGTGAAAAAAATTTTTAGATAAGTTGGATCCAGAATTTATTATGATGAAAGCAAACCTCAAAATTCAGAAAGTACTTATAAATCACCTATTAACAAGGTTCTCATAATAGCAACAGGATTTGAATTCACTATCTCATGAGTTATAAGTAAACTTCTTACTAACTGGACCAACACTTGTTAGTATTTAGTGTTCATTTCAAAATATGAACCATGCATCAACAACGAAATTAAACGGTAAATACTTTGTTATATTTTATTCTTAAATTTGTTTATTTTAACAAATGTAAATGAAGGGTGAATTAAAAACAACTTTTAACATCTATTTTCTTAAATTAAATTTTTCAAATGAATTTCAAAAATATAAACCATTCAAATTAAATCTAAACGGTTTATATCTCATCTCAAGGAATTTTTTTACTTTTTTGCTAAATCATCTACAGGAATGAGCAGCTTATTTTTTGTTATTATTTACCCAAGTTTATTCTTGTTACGAATATATCATGTTTGGTTGAAAAGTCCTATTCTATATTAATTAAAACAGCAAAATAAAAAATTGATTTGAACATAACCACTCATTAATTTTATTATTAATAACTCTCTTGATTTTTTTGGATCAAACCTTGAAAACAGATTAAATAAAGAAAAATGAACATTGATAAATAACCAAGCCTACTTAATTTCCTAATATTTTGGACAGATGGATACATCCATGTACCATTGATTCAGCATATCATTGTCAGAAGTAATAAAAAAAATGTCAAAAAAATTTTTTTTTTATGGTTAGGAAAAGAAAAGGTCATAAATATCATACGGTCATGACTAGATGCTTACTCATTCCACAGCTTGCGCCACCAAACACATCTCCAGGTTTGATCCACGCAAGACTGACTCATCCTCATCTTTTTTTCCTACACGTTTTGCATGAGCACCCCTCACGAACTTTTTATTTAGTTTTTAACCCCACATTCTCCAAGCCCATTCTGGCTATCCTATTCACCCGTGCGTTTCACGTCCAATGGATTATTACAATACACGAAAGTACAACTGTACAGGTTTTTTAAGGATCTCTCTGGTTGTAAAAATTAAAAATATATATAATACAAAAATTAAAATTAAAAAATGTAATATTTATTATTTTTATCATTATCAATGGATACTAATTGTCTCATTGGTACAGTATAACGACAATTTTTTCCCGTGTACAAGACTTGTATTTTAGCTTTTCTAAAGATCAAACTTAACCCAGTTGCTGTTAGTATTTCCTTTTTTTTAATTATTTTTACTCCGGGACAAAAATGTTATTTGTCTATATAATTACTTCATTTTTTATACGATTTAATGAATTTATACTTCATTTCCTCTTTCCATTTTATCCCCCCAAACGAGGCTTTTTAATTTTTTTTCCAAGTACCAAACAACGAAGCAGTAATGAAATTAAAAGTCTAATTTAAACTTTTCTAATTATAAAATACCAACAACTAATTCAATTTGATAAATTTCACTTAAGGAGATGATTGGAGATAAGTGATGCAAATTAACCTTGTCTTGTCCACGTCAGCGATATCCAACCGTTGGGGGATATTTTTAAAGGATTCAATGAGAGTTAGCTGGAATTGTAAGATTTAATGGGATATGGTACGGTTTTTCGCATTAGGATTTAAAGAATTGCAAAAAGAGTAAGATCATGATTATCTGTATTTTTCAGATGAGGACTCCAAGCTTCCTAATTCTCAGGCAAGGACTTTTCTTCAATTTCGGTATAAATACCACCATTGTCAACATCTGAATCCACACACACCCTTTTTCAAAAGTCTTTCCTCCCTTCATTCTTCATTTCTTTCATTCTTTTTCCTCATTTTCTGGGCTTCTTCTTTCACAACAATGACTATTCTCATTGAGCAGCCTGATCTTGGTATGATCCTTTTCATCCTTCATTCTTTGCTTTCTTCTTCTTCTTCTTCGTCATTGTTGTTGTTATGTTTGTTCTCTCGGAACTAAGCTTTTATTTGTTCTGTGTTTCCAATTCAGATTCAAACTTTGGAGAGAAGAGTTTATTTCATGCTGAGAACAACAATGAGCTCGTTTTGGATGGTGGATTTCCACTTCCAAAATCTGCATCACAGAATGGATTTATAGCCCCAGAAGAAATCAACTCATTTGGCCACTCTTTCAGGTCTCATTTTGTTTTCATTAGTTTCTGATCAGCAAAGAGAAAGAAAATCTGTTTAGTTTGAATCTCACAATGCCATTTTCTGTTTATGCAGAGATTATGATGCAGAAAGTGAGAGGCAAAAAGGCGTTGAGGAGTTTTACAGGCTTCAGCACATCCACCAAACATATAGCTTTGTAAGCCCATAAAATAATAAAAAAAACTATGTTTAATGCAAAAAGATCATGGTCCTCATCAATACGATAAGTATTGAGACGGGTCCCCTTAGAGGGCCCACATAGTTTTAACTGCAGTTAAGCATGGTGGTGAAATTTTGAATGTTGTTGCAGGTGAAGAAAATGAGAGAAGAGTATGGAAAATTGAACAAAGGAGAGATGGGGATATGGGAATGTTGTGAGTTGTTGAATGAAGTTGTGGATGAAAGTGATCCTGATTTGGATGAACCTCAAATTGAGCATTTATTGCAATCTGCTGAGGCAATAAGAAAAGATTATCCTGATGAAGATTGGTTGCACTTGACCGCTCTTATTCATGGTATATTATTTTGTCTAATACTTATATCTTTCATTTTATTATCTAGATTTTATGGGTCAAACTCAAAACTTTTGGGCAAAATCGTCCATATATCTACTTTTTACATGCCACCAATTGGGCCCATCTTTTAAATATCAAAAAAGTTGGAAACTTTGAAGGAAAAATGAACTGGTTGAAGAATATTCTTTTGGTTCTTTCTTACAGATCTTGGAAAGATCCTTCTCCTTCCTCAATTTGGTGGACTTCCTCAATGGGCTGTTGTTGGTAAGAACTGGTCCATTTATTTGCATACTCACCTACGTATTCTTTTTGTATGTCACTGAGAGAATTCAACATCTGAAATGAATGCTGCTTGAAAATTTTTGTAGGAGATACGTTCCCTCTTGGCTGTGCTTTTGATGAAGCAAATGTGCACCATAAGGTGTGTAATTCCTTCTGACAAACTCAGAGGTAAATGCCACTTTTTTGTGAATTTTGAGATTCATCTAACACAAGTTGTTTTGCTTGTTGCAGTATTTCAAGGACAACCCAGATTACAACAATCCTTCTTACAACACCAAAAATGGCGTCTATTCCAAAGGTTGTGGACTTGATAACGTGGTCATGTCATGGGGACATGATGATTATATGTACTTGGTGAGTTATCTTCAACATCATATCCTGAACCAGACTAGTTTCATGGAGCCAGTCTTCTTCATTTTATGTCATGTTAATGACGAAGATCTAATCAATGGTTCACTGGAATCTGCAGGTTGCTAAGGAAAACGGCACCACTTTGCCTCCAGCAGCTTTGTTCGTTATCAGATATCACTCTTTCTATCGTAAGCATCTCCATCGAGTTCAAAGCACATTGTTAATATTCTCTATTCTGCAAGCAAATATGATGACATTAACACAATAAATTTTGCAGCTTTGCATAAGGAAGGTGCATATAGCCACTTGATGAACGAAGAAGATGTTGAGAATCTGAAGTGGGTCAAAATATTCAAGTATGCTTCTCTCATAATCTCAATACAGATTCTTAATTAGTTGTAATTGGTTAGTAATCTTACAAATTAACCCGACTCTGTTCATTATACAGCAAATATGATCTGTACAGTAAGAGCAAAGTTCGTGTAGATGTGGAAAAAGTGAAGCCATACTATCAATCCCTCATTAAAAAAGTGAGAACTTATTAACTTTACTTCTTCAACCATTTGGAATTTTGTCTGCTATTTTCCCTTTGTGAGTATGTATTTATTTTCTATGTGCATGGATCTGCAGTATTTCCCAGAGAAACTCAGATGGTGAAACTTGAAGATGTTGAAGAAGAAGCTTAGATGGAGGGGAACTTGTGAAGATGTTGGAGATGAAGCAGTTAAGGGCGCGGTCGGGGGGTATCAGATAGTCAATTACTTAATGATATGAGATCTCAGAGTTGCTGTCCCTTTTTGTTCTTTCCTTTCTTTTTGGGCGTATGTGCCTTTTTATAATTAGATAGAATAAATAAATTATTTCTGGTCATGTCTATCTAAATAAAGGCATATATATTATATATTAGCTTGTCGGTCCTTGTAGAGTGTATAGTTATAAAATAGTAGTGAATATGCATGTCGGGTGCAAAAATATCGGTCAAAATTCTACAAGGAAGCAAAAAAGTCACACAGCTTATTTAAGAAAACATTTGTTACTTTCTGATGGTGGGCCTCACATCTGTTTACATTTTGATAATTAACGAGAATTTGCTAAAATAACCGATGTCACGCTTTTGCTTCTTTTTTATTTTATTTTTGTGAGTATCTTTGAATCCAAGTAAAAATTTAAGTAAATAATCGCAAATATAAGACTACAGTCTACTTTATCTTTCATATTTATCTATTTTTTAAAAAATAATACTTCTAATAATAGTAGTTCTAATTAATAAACTTGATTAGAAATAATATTTTAAGAAAGACAACGTTTATTCAATACAAATAACTAACTCGATTTATCTTTTTAATCTATTCAAATTAATCAATTAACTCTTATATTTATGATATGAGGTATTACGAAATTTGTGTTTTTAGAAATGGGATCTCACATGTTAATTGCACTTCAAAATTTGAAATTTTTTTTCACGTTTATTATTAGCAATATACGGCCAAAGAGTGAGAGGGATAGCACCGACTGAATATGTAATTTTTCATTATTAGGGCTATTTTCTCAGTAAATCGGGCGCCGACAGAATGAATAATTGATCAAGTGTTTCTCTACGAATGGATCCCCTCCGGTGGCCAAATGGCCTATTGAAGGGCCTGGGAAGGGCGTTCATCAACATCGGACGGTTATGATGAACACACTTCCGAAGCACTTTGCCTTGCACGCCGGAGGCGAACCTGATCTCAGTGATCTGTTTGTGCGCATTAAATATTTGGCTAAAGTATATATTTAATACTTTAATTTTATACAAAATTTTAATTTGATCTCTTAATTTTAAGAAGTATATTTTTAGTCTTTTGATCCTAAAATTTTTTTAAAAAATGATAACATTAAGATCTTAAATGTTGATAAAACATTCTCAAATACTAACATATTAAGTTTAATTCTTAAAAAATACATGATTGTTACAAAAAATCATCATTGAAACTTAATAGTTTTAGGATTAAAGGACTAAATGCATGCTTTTTAAAGTTAAAGGACCAAATTAAAATCATATACAAAGTCAAAAGACCAAATGTATACTTTAGCATAAATATTTTCAAGAGAATTGTAATGAGATCTAGAAATGGATATAATTGTTTAAAAAAAAAATTTCCAATCACAAGGAAGCAGTTAAAACTTATTATTATTTTTCATACTAGGAGTTGTCTATAAAAACTGCTCAGCTGTTAAGAAATTTTTTAATTGTTAATTTTCTTATTTGGATCCTTATAGTAATTTTTCCTTATTTTTATAAAAATGCATGAGGATTAGATTTGATAAAATGAAATAAAAGGATTTGATATGATATAAGAATAAATGTTTATAAGAAAAAAATAGTTATGTAATTCTAATAATTTTGCCCCTCAGATTTAACTCTTCGTGAGTTAAGTTCTCAACTTTTGTTGGTTTAGTAACTCTGTCCCCATTGTTATTGAATCAAATTTGATTGTGGTTATGTGTCACAAATGGTGTTATCTCTGTTAATATTGCATGCACGGTGTTAACATATTTTTCAGTCAACAAGTATTTCTAATATAATATTTTAAGACACATACAAAAACATGTTTTATTAAAAAAAAAAAACAAAAAAGTCCAAATTGAACCTATAAGTTAAATATTATGGTTTGGTCTGGTCGGTTAAAATACCAGCTTCGGCTCGGTTCGGATTTTAAATAATGTTTGGTTATTTCAGTTTCTCCATGAAGTGCTTAAATTAATGCGTTGTTTGTTTCTGCTTTTGGTTTTTATGTTTTCACAATAGTTTTCTAAAATTATTTTTTGAAATAATTTGTACAAAAGAGAAAAACAAAAATATATTTGAATAATTTTTCTAAAATTATTATATTTGAAAACAAAAGAAGATAAAAATTTGTTTGGAACATTTGTTGTCAAAATCAATCTAGAGTATTGTTAGAAGGTGAAAGGCAGAGCGCAGAGGGCAACGATACCATAGTTTGGATGGAATATTAGATAGAGTCGTCAAACTTTGCCACTCAATGTTTTCTAAAGATTCATTAAGCACCATCTTATAGAGCTCCTGACAATTAGTTTTAAGGCAAATCTTAAAGTAGTTGAAATGATTATCGAATAAAATTGTTTCCTTAAGGGTGTGTTTGGTATAAGGGATTTGAAATGGGGAGGAGAGAGGGGAAAGGATTTTAATCATTTCTCCTTGTTTTGCAACATACAAATTTTAGGAGGGGAGGAAAAATTTTCTCCTCAACCTCTCCTCCAAAATTAGGAGGATTTGGAGGAAAAGGGCGATATTTTGTCATGTGGTAACTATTATGTCCATATTTTGTCATATTGTGACTATTATACTCATATCTTAAATAAAATAAGGGAAAAATTGTCCATGTTAAAATATTTTTCCCTCTCCTCCCCTCATAAACTAAACAAAGTAATATTAAAATCCTTCTACTCTCTTTCTCTCCCCTCCATTAAAACCCTTCCCTTCTCCTTCCTCTGATTGAGTCAAACAGATCCTAAACGCAATACATTCAGCTTCAAAAGGAGTATAAGCATTGACCCTCTTGCATTATACTCTTGCATATAACACCAATTCTAGCATAACCAGAATGCTTCAAAAGGAGTATTCGCATTATTTTTGAGTTTTCTATTTTTAAAAGCATATTTCCTTATTTCTCATACTCCTCCGATCCTTAATATAGGACCTAATTTTTGAGTTGATTTTAGTCCTAAATGCAAGACCCATTTCTTATATTTATTAATTTTCTCTAAATTACCCCTATGAATACTCCCTCAACCATAATCAAGTAGGAGAGGGAGAGGGGGTATTAAGAAAGATGATTATGGTTTTTTAAGAAAAAGGTGTCACTTTTCTTATAATTAACTAACTTACCTAACTTTCTTAATCTAATCAAATTAGTTAAATGGGTTTTATATTAAGGACAGGAGGAGTAAAACACTTAATTAAAAAAACAATTAAACAAGTTTTTGTTTTTAATCAAAAATTTGTTCCCAGAACAAGGAAACACACATATTCTAAACTGCTACGTTTTTCAGTTTGAGAAGCTGTTACAATCCTTAATATAAGAATTAAATAAATAATTTGTGAATATTAAAAAAAATAATTGAGTTCATTATTTATAATAAATAGATGTTATCATTCTTAAAACACCATTGTTAATCATGTGCTAAACTAACCCTTAATAAAAACTCCTTAACATATATAGTCACCATAAGAATTATTAAGAGGTAAAATGAATAAATATTAAAAAAAAAGTGAATTAAAATTTTATATTTAAAATTAAATTTAATCACTCGCCTAGAAAAGGAACCAAGTATGCAGTAATGCAGATGCCTTAGGCTGGTTTGGGCCTAGAATCGGAGGGTGGGCTGCATGTATGGGATAGGTTCTTAGGAGGTTGGACATGGTCTTTCTTGCTGAATCTTTGGGAATAGCGTCTGGTTTAGTTTATTTTTGGGCCAGTTACCAAAATGCCACTTCTTATTAAAGATCATAATATCAAGAATTAAAATAACCCTACTTGGAGTTTAAGAATAATTATCTGGTTTTCAATAACGGATATTGTGTCGTTTGCTTTTTTTCAAAAAAGGAATATTTTAAAAAAATATTCGCTTTCTTAATTCCTAAAAACCTTTTCATTATACCAAACGGGACTTTAGTGCACATTCCACCAGCTTACTTTGCGTTTTAAATTATTTATGATTAAAAATGATTGAAATCTAATGTGTCCATGCAAAATAAGCAAGCACACACACATGAGCTACTAAAATATAAAATATAAAATATAAGAGCTAGTAAACAAATTTGCTTTAATTTGGTAGCCATTTGTGTTGCTACTAAAGCTTCATTGTTGGGGTCTTAACCTTCTTATGGGTGCAGTGACCTTCGTTGCATCTGCAGAGATTTCATGCTCTCAGGCTCAAGTTTATCCCCTTGCCTTGTTTTTTGTAGTTACTTTCTAGGGTTTTTTTTTTTTTAATGGAAACTTTCTATGTTATTTTGTTTTGTTTCTGTCTGTTCCTTTTAGATCGTTGTTTTTAGGCTAAAGAATATGTATTTGGAGTTCTATGATTAGTGCATTTCTTGTCGGCCAAGAACATAAAAGTAAAGGAATTTGCTTTAACCTTAGCTCAGGTTTGGTATAAAGTACTACCTCCAGTCCTAATTATAAGAGCCAGTTGACTAATTTGAGGAGATTAAAGAAGTAAGTTGAATTAATTATTTGTCCTAAATAGGTATTGTTTTTCCTAAAATATCATTGCTAATCAAGTGTATTGACTATAACTATAATTGTTAGAAGGGTTACTTTGGAAAAAAAATGTATAAATATGAGAAACAAAGTGGATTGGGGTCTTATATTTAAAACCAAAATAAAAATCAAACAAGGTCTTATATTAAGGATCGGAGGTAGTATTAAAATTGAGAGATAGAGATTGGGATTATAATTGACAAAAATCATTACAACATTATGTAAGATGAGTAATTGCTTGTTATATGAAATTAGACAAACCCATAGAGGTGGGATTGGGGAACACCACCTCTCCTCATGATATTCTTCAATCCCACATACATGGATTTAGCTAATCCTATGTAACAAGCAATCTCTTGTATTAAACGCTCTTGTAATAGATTTTCTCAATTTCAATCCCAATCCATATCTTTAATTTTCAATACTTCCTACCAAACATAGCTTT